GGGTTAGTATTAGCATTAGATAACAGGAGCGGCGCGGAGGCGTTAGCCGTAGCAAGCGACTACTAAGTGAGCGAAGCTAGCTTAGTTGGTATTGCTGAGCGTTAGCGAAGCAATACAAGTTATATTGTCTTTAATAAAGTTGTTTTTAGAAAATGTTTAATTGCGCATTGCTGATAAATATAATTAAAAATTATTAAAATTATTAAATAAAATTAAAAATATTTATTTATTAAATTTTTTATTTAATAATGTTAAAGCCCGGTGCTACGCACCGGGTTAGAGACTAGTATGTAATAAAAAATTTTTTTTCGTATATACTTTCTAAAATATAAAAAAATTCGTTATCATTATGTACTATATAGTACGAAATTTTTTTTTTCACGTACGTATTTTGCTAACTATATATATACCTTTTTTTAAAAAAATGATATATATTTAAAAAAAAATTAAGTTTTTATATACTTCTGTAACTTTCAATGATCTTAAATATAATGGACAAATAGTTTTAAAATAGCAAATTACGGATTTAATGTGATAATATTATTTAGGTTTTAAAGCCTTAACAATCATTAGTTTTATACCGTTTAACGAAAATTCACGTTGTTCGATTGCGGATTCATAAGAGGTTTTATCAGCGAATTCTATGAAAGCACATTTCTAAAATATGCATAAGAATAAATAAAAGCAATAGAAACATCGGATCCCATAGCATATCATTGCTGACTTACTCGCTCTTGAATCATCTCAATCCATAGAACTTTTCCAAATGTTTCTTCGACACACTGTCGTAATTTTAATTCATCAATGTCTTTAGTTAGACCACCGACATAGGCTCTGTGCGTTCCGATTCCATCAAGGAAATCGGGTAAATATGGAATATGTCCGTCTTATATATTATTAAAATTTGTTAATTAAAAGACTTTAATTTATTTCATGCATAAATATTGAAAAAAAAAACGTTTAACCTACTCTTAGCTTCAAGCTTTCGATAATTTTCGTGACCGTTCAAATCTACATCAAATTCTCAGATGAACAATGAATAATAAAGTAAATAATTCGATAAAATAAACCGAAAAAAAGAGCATCTGACATACACTTTGGTTCAAATCTCCATTGACTAACTTGGCCACATGCATACATATCTGTAATAAATCAATTAAACAATCCGACAAAAAAAAAATAAATAACCGAATGATAATAATAATAAATAATAGAATGATTTGGGAAGAATTCATACCTTGACCATAAACACATTCTCTAATAGATTTCATAAGGTCGATTTCATCCCGAATGGCACTTTCGGCCGTAGAAGTAAATTGATTATCTTCTTTAATATAATTCCCTTCTTTCAACAGGTCGCTAATCAATTGTCTTTGCGCGATAATAAGGTCATCTTTTATCGAGGAAATTTTCTGATGATTAATAATATACGAATCTTTTAGATTTAGTTGAGATGATAAAGAGATACAACTAGGACAGTAATTAATATTATCATGATTATAGTTGTGGATGAATTGCCGCGACGAGGAAGTTTGTGCGATATCCATTTAATTAATTTAATTTTAAAAGTTATATTTTATATTTTTTCGATATTTAGAAGAGAACACTAATAAAAAAAAAAAAAAAAACGAACGATAGAACAAAAAAAAAATTAAAATAAAATAAAATATGAATAAATAAAAATTTTAAATAGATTACGAAAACAGTTGTTAACGTTGTATTTATGTCACTAGATTAGGCCGCATAAATTATATAGTTATATGAGAAACTCCTTTCTATGTGATTCGTCATGACATAATTCTTAAATATTACAAATCATTATTTTTGAAATAATATTATTAACCATATTGATACTCCGATTAGTAAATTTGGAGGCAAAATTGGTAATGCCAAATCATCGCACATGGGGATAGATACATATTTTATATTATATTTTAAAAGTATTGAGAGAAGTAAATTTGTTTCAGACAACTACAAAAAAATATTATTTTTTCAGCAATCTCGATGAAAGTGACGCAGCAAATAGCATGCATCTATTCCCGTAAATAATAATTATATACTGATATTATTATTAGTGTTGCTTTACGAACAGAAAAAATTGACCTTATTATATTATTATTATGGTCGCGTGAAATGTTACTGTATTATAGTTTTTAGTATTTGAAGCATAGTATAAATTTTTGTTAAATATAATGAACAATTAATTTTTGTAAAATGAATCGAGTATTCGTTACGTAAAGAGAACCATTTTAAATTCTCAAATATCACATATCTTTGATAGAATATTATCCTACATCTATTAAAAAAATGCCTAATGCCGTGGATTTGATTAGCACCTTCACGACGTTGAGGCTACCTCTGCTTGAATCTCTATTAGTATTTATGTAAAGTGCTTGGAGTTAAGTGTTAGTCATCATTATTTAACCAATGGCCAAAATTATAAAGTAGAATAGGCAAAAGTAGAATAGGCAAAAGCAGAACAGAAAAGAACGGAGCAAAAAAACTATGCACATCCATAGAAAAAGATGGTTAATAAACCTCTTGAGGAAAAAAATAGCTGGGTGATCAATCAAGAAAGTGATAAAGAAAATGCTAGAACAAATACCCATCAAGTAAAGGAAAAAGAAAAAAAAGTGAAAGAGAAAAGAAACTTTATAGGCTCTACATTATATGGGCGGAGTGCTACAGAAAAGAGGGAAATCGACAAATTTTCAAAAATTTTTTTTTTACACAAATCAATTTAGAATAAGATTAGGTTCATTTTTTACTTAAAACTCAAAAGTAGTTATATTAATAAAATTTTGTAATATAGCTCTTTAAAGTTTCTATTTTCTTATGATTTATTATAAAATTTATAACATAAAAATTGATCTTCTGAAGATCTTTTGTTTTGTTGATTTCCCCCTTTTCTGTAGCACCAAGCCCATATATAAAAGACCAACTAGGCAAAGAAGAGACAAAACTTCAATTTGTACTAATTGAGAAAATATTATAAAAGTTAATTGCAATTGAAGAAAGGCAGCAAGAGAGGGGCACCTGAACTATTTCTAAAGGGTACTAAGGGTGTTATTTCAGAAATAGAGTGCTACAAACAGTTGGTGGTATAAAAAAAAAAGAAAAGAAAAACAATTTAGAAACACTTTATATAGAAATATATAATATTAATAATATTAAACCAAAAAAATTAAACTTTTTAGTAGATTACATAAAAGAAAATAATTTGGTTTATACAAAACAAATATAAAAAAAAAAAAAAAAGTGAAAATATTTAAATAAAGAGCATGATAATTATCAATTATTTTGGTCAGAGGTTAAAAAAAACAAAAACAAGAGGTTTTAAGTAGGTATCTTTTAATATATAAATCAACACAGACAAATTTGTTTGCATTTTTGTATTTTTTTAGCTCTGATCTACTTTTTTAAAATGCTAAATTATTTAAATAAAACTTTGTACAATTGTATTTAATAATAATAATTACTTTTTGCAAAATTAGTTTTAATAGTATATTTAATTAAAAAAACTATTTACAACTTCTTAACAAACTTTTTAAATATTAATTTTAAATATATAGTTCTTAAAATAATATTATCTTTTAATATATAGACCAACACATGCAAATTTGCCTATGTTTTAGTACTTTTTTAGCTCTGATCTACTTTTTAAAAATGCTAAAATAGAAGTGTAGTAACTTAGAGTAGTTGGTAGATTGTTATCTCCTAAGCTTAAGATATAAAGTTTGAATTTTACTAGTAACAATTTGAATAAATTATTTTGTATTATAATAATTAATCTATATTAACTAGTTGAGTTTTAGGGCCTATAACTCTAGTTAGACTGATGCATTCTATATACCAAAAAGTTTTAGAAGTATCTGTATAATACCAGAGTTATTTAGAGAAATACAAACTGGTTTAAACAATATAAACTTATAATAAATTTTTTGGGACTATAGAAACTAAAAAAGAACTAGAAGATCAGGAACTAGCTTGAGAAGTTTTGAGTAGAGAAGTAGTACAGATCTTTAACAATAATATAAAAAAAATTTGAACTAAAAACAGATACTTAAACTAGAAATAAGAGTACAAAAGACTTTTAAAAAGAGTAAGAGTACAATATATTCTCAAATAAAGGTACAAAGTACTCTTAAGAAAAAGAGTTTACTAATCTAGTCACCAAAGCACAAACCAAAAAAAAAGAATATATGCTATAGAAATATATACTAGGGTTAGAGTAACTATAAACCAAAGATTTGGCAAATTTAATCTTCTAAATCATTGAATTAAAAGTTCTAAAAGCTAAAAAAAGAGGTCTATAAATTAAAAAAAAAAAGTATATAAATACTAGAGTTTGAGTAAACTTTGCAAAAGCAGAAATAAATAACTATAGAAGTGAATAACTTTCAAATATATGAGTCAAGTTATAGCACAAGTTACCAAAAGTGTAGATAATATATATGTGAAATAAAAACTACTTTGTTAAATTTACTACAAGAATAAATACTTTTCTAGAAACTAGATTAACTAGAGACTAAAGTTTTAAGATTTTATTTAGCAAATTATCTTGAAAAGGTATATTAAAAAAATTATAATATAAAGATTAAAGCTAAAAAATTTAAATAAATAGCTTTTTAAATATATTATAGATATAATAGCTAGTATAGAACTTTAGAATAAACTACTTAAATTAGATAATTAAAAGTTGTATATATAGCTAGTTATACTCTTATAATACTACTATAACATGTTACTAGTCTTTTAAATTGGTAAATTTGCTTAAACTAATAAAATGCCAGAAGTTTAAATAGTTATCTTAATATTAAAAAATAAAAAATAAAATAAAATACTAAAATATTTAAATAAAACTTTGTATAATTATATTTAAAAATAATAATAACTTTTTAAAAAATTAGTTTTTATAGTATAAAAAAAAGTTTAGATTGCTTATAAGCTAAAAATAAATATTTAAAAAAAATATTTAATCAAAAAAATTATTTACAACTTCTTGATAAACTTTTTAAATATTAATTTTAAATATATAAATTTTAAAACAATATTATAGTTTATTTTTTTTTTTCGATATTAAGATGTTCTCTTTGACCATAGTGAACTCTTTATTAGTAATTATTTTGCTATTATAGTTATAATAAAAATATAACTAGCTATATATACTTCTTTTGAGTGCCTATTTAAGTAGTCTGCTTGCAGGTTCTATACTAGATATTGTATCTATAACTCAACTAGGAAGTTATCTATTTAAATCTTCTAATTCTAACTATTTATAAGCATATTATACTAACTATCTGGCCTATTTTACTAGATTGTATATCTTTCTTTAAGACTTTCATAGCTTATTCTGGGTTTGCACTAACTAATTACTAGCTTGCATTCTTCTATTAAGTAGATGTATAGCTATTCTCAAGATAAATCTACTAAAGCTTTTTTTATTTTATTTTGGGCCAATCTAGTTTTGCACAGTTGTTGAGGCTCCCACTTGCAGTTGGGATTATTTTTATTTAACCACTTTTATCTTTATAAGGTTTACTCCTAATTCTAATATCAATATTTAGATTTTTCTTTTTTTCATTATTTCTTTATTGATCTATCTCTTACTTTTAACTAGTAACTTAAAAGATTCAATCTTGGCTTAGTTTTAGATGCTGGTACTTTTGTCTTATCTTGGTATATAATTTCTTAGCACATATCCTTTTTTTTCAATTTGGTTAGCTAGTTCTTCAGATATGCTTGGTATTTTTCTGTTACTTGACTTCCATAGCTTCTGGTCTAATAAGTTAAAACCTCTTACTACTAGTTTTCTATACTAGCTAGCCAGAGTTAGTAAACTCAGTAACATTTTACAGATTTTTAACTTTTTTAAACTAGCAATCAAGTTGATAAATCTCTTCACTAAAGGATCTTGTTATCATTTGGTTTTTCAATCTTGGCCCTAACTTCCAAATTTGAGTCTTTTTTGTAATACTATTAAAAACCTGGCTACTTCTTACTCGGGTCTTTTCAAATAGATTTTGATTATTTCAGTTTCTTGGCCTTTTATGCACCAAAGCTTCCATATAAACATGGTATTACTAAAATTACAAGTTCTAGAATCCAACTAATCAATAGATGATCATTACTATAATGCAAGCTTATTTTTCAAAAATATTATCTATAGGATTCAAACTTTGAACCTGCTACTTGGTGGGGTGATGACTAGACCACTTCACTAAATTACTACACTCCTAGTATTATAGTTTATATAAAGGATTACAACTTTTATTATTATACTTTTAGAGATTTACTAATAAAAATCAAATCTTTATTTAGAAACAAAATTTTTTTATAGATAAAAAATATATAAAATTTAAGAAAATTTAAAAAAAATTTATATAGTAAAAATTTTAATACAAGAACTTCAAACTTTTATTATACTAAAATTTTTTAATAATTTTAAAAAATTTTCTTAATAAAAACATATATAAAATTAAATAATTTGTTTAAAAAATATATAGCTAAAATTAATATTTTAGATTTTATTAAAAAAATTAAAATTTTAATGAAAACACAGATATATTTGCCTGAATTACAAATTATGAGATAGTTTATATAAAGAATTACAACTTTTATTATTACATTTTTAGAGATTTATTAATAAAAATCAAGACTTTACTTAGAAACAATTTTTTTTATAGATAAAAAATATATAAAATTAAAAAAATTTAAAAAAAAAATTATATAATAAAAATTTTAATACAAGAACTTTAAACTTTAATTATACTAAAATTTTTAATAATTTAAAAAATTTTTTTAATAAATCTAAAATCAAATATTTTATTTAAAAAATATATAACTAAAATCAATATTTAAGATTTTATTAAAAAAATTAAAATTTTTAATAAAAACACAGGTAT